GCGCAACAAGTTTGATGCGTTTTTGGGAGTTTGTAGCTTTATGTGTAGTTTGGGGTTAAGAAGGAGAACTATTGTGAGAAAATGCGACGGTGAACGCTGTAATGAGAGTTGACGGTGCTCTACATCGTAGTTAGTTTGGCACCAATCGCGGAGACGCTAGCTACTTCAAAGATCGGTTTGGGCTACGCCATGTATTGTGAGTTTCACGTGATTTATTTTTAAAATGGTTGCATGCCTTAGTTCGATATTTTTATAATATGTGTTTTGAGTATTTGTGTGTCGATGGGGATGTACTACGATATGATTTTGTAAAGACGAGCATGCTTTGTGAGCTTGTCTAAGCCGTAAGTGCGGACATGCTGTGTGAGTTCGCCAGGTAATGCTGTGTGAGGTAGACATCTCCCACGACGCTGTTGCTTTGTGATGTAGACACGCACTATAATATCGTTATTTTGTGAAAARTGTTATTCTTATCAAGGCATGCTAATTTATGAAGCTTCGTGAAAATTGTTTATTATAAAAGTTGTTGTTCATGYATGAAAACCGTGGATTCACTGGGCCTAAGGCTCACCCAAAACTCTTTTAAAACTTTTTCACCCAGGCGGCTATTAGACTGGAAAGAAAAGTTGGATAAAGAGATAAATAAGGATTAGCATCAAAGAAGGATATGTGCAGATCAAGGCATTGTTATATAGAGCAAAGTTATGCTCCTCAAGATTGTAAGTTTAGATGGTGATATAAATTGTAAGATTAGAAATTTTATTTCCGCTGCAATGTAAGTGTTTGATCTTGGGATACCAATTTTGATATATTTAAGTATTTGGAAATTTTGGGATGTTACACTTTGAGTGTTATCATTGATCGTAAATGGACCAAACTAAGAAGGGAGATATGTCATTATGAAGTGGACGAGAAAACCATCACTAATTGCCATGTCCATACTTTTGAGTTTGTCTGCCATGTCACTCACCATCATTATGTGCTCACGCACACCACCGACCCCATTGTACTTGGTAGTCAACATTTTAAGGATCAAGGTACTTACATGGGCCTTTGAAGTCCCTTTAAATTGATCCTCTACAGAGTTAAGGTATGTTTTGGCATCTTCGGAGTCAGGGATGGCTCCTCGGATGACAACAGAAATGAAATTTTTGATGATCATGAGAGACGTTCTATTTGACCGATCCCATAATTCATATGCCTTCTTTTCATCCAGCTTACTTTTGTCGGTAAGGGAAGCGGGTTGTTGTAGTCTCAAAGCATGATCAAGATCCATAAACTCCAAGAATCAATTTGAGTTGATCTCTTCAGGTGTTGAAGTTTGTACCAATTAGGGATTCAATTCCGGACAAATATCCAGAATTTGTAGTTAAAGTAGGTGTTGCCATAATAATATAATTAAATGCATGCTCATATTTATAAGATGACACTTTAAGCATATCAATGAAATTTGAACTAAGCCTATTAAAACATACAAAATGTAGGCAATAGAAACATCACATTCAACTACTAACCGTTCGTTGGATCAATTAGCAACTAAGTTTAATGTCTTATGTTAAATTATGCATACATGTCTTTCACATAGTACCGTTGGGCAAACAATGTAATGGAGATGCAATTTACGCTAAAATACCATCATTTAATCAACAAATAGGTTTCCGTTGGGTCCCCTAAATGTCAATATAAACAATATATTGTATATTTATTTCATCTATTTTGGATAGATTTTCGTTGGTTTCGCTATCCAAAATAAACTTAATCTTGATTAGCAAAACAATTTTAACCCATATATATATATATATATATAGAGAGAGAGAGAGAGAGAGAGGTGGAGGTTCAAACGAGAACACTTCCATTTTACGAAAACGTGAGAACACCCTTATCACATATGATAATACGCGTGAGGGGACCCTGTGATGTGCAGACAACGTGTTCTACGACTTAGGCCGCACCAAAGGTTGTCTGCGTCTATGATTTAGCATCACATGTGATTGTCTTGATGGATTATAGTATCACATCAACAACAAGCTTATCACATGTGATAATACTTGTGAGGAGGCTTAGTGATGTATGGGCGACTTGGCCCGCAACCAAGAACGCATCGAAAATCGCCCACATCTCTGATTTAGTATCACATGTGTATCATATGTGATGAAATAATAATATCACATGTGATTGTCTATAATAAAAGAGTGTTCACACATTCTAGTAAAATAAATGTATTCTTGTTTGAACCTTTCCATATATATATATATATATATATATATATATGCCGTTTGAATGAGTAACAATCAGAATGTAATGGCAAAAGGTTTTTGCATCAAACATAATAATGAATTCAAGTTTCATAAGAGCATAAAATTCAAGTTTTGAATCCCCGAGGAATATAACTCAAAGTTGAAATAACACAGAATCCAAATTTTAAAATTGGAAAATACAGGATCAAAAATTTCCGAATTGTAATTCACTTTTCTGCCCAATTTGCAAATCGAATTCACAGAACCCAATTTGACAAATTTCCAGAATTCTTAATTAAATTATATAAATAAAAATTAGAAGGTGTGCAAATTACTATTCACGAACCATTTTTCAACAAAATCCCACCATTCTAAACTCATTTAAGAAATTAGGGTTTTATCATAATTAGGGCAAATGATGTATATATCAAGAACATGGCTCTGATATCACATGTTAGGTTAATCCCAAAACATATGCATATAGAATATAGATACCTAATCATACATGTGAAAATTCAAGATACAACGAAACAAATAAAACTTACTTGATGAAGTGTTTATCTTTGTTCCACTCGAAGATGCCATGAAGAACGAATTTAGATTGTTGATTGCTTCTCTTCGTTACTATAATCTAATGGATAGCTTTATGTATGTTTTGTTCCCTCTAATTATTAGAGAGTTGCAGAAATTTTAGAGGGAAAGATAGTAATGTATGAGACAAATCAACCACCAATATCTATATATAGTAAACCTAAGAGGTGTGACTTTTCCGAGGGATGTAAATGACGGGGTGTGACTTTTCCGTCACAATTACTCCCATATTATACTTACGTTACTCCAAAAAAAAAATATAAAAGATAATATATTTATATATGTAAATAAATATACAAATGATCAAGGACACGAATTTTATGAGATTCTAACAGGAGTCACTCGATAAAGCAGTCACAAAATTATTAAATGATATTATGTTGCTTGAAAAAGATAATAAATATGAATAATACATGTCATATGAAACCAAAGTTTTATAGTATTTGCTTCATATATTAATTGTTCATGATGATTTAGATTCATAGATGTTCGCTTTTATTTGAATTATGTAATTGATTTCGTTTAGTTTCCTTTACACGATTTACGATTTATGTTACACCCTGTCTTCATTAGGCATATTTTGTCTCTGATCTTCGCTTCCTTCATTCGGTTTCTGTTTTTTAGGTGAACCAATAGGTTTCCAACCTTCAAAGCAATATGATGCTTTGTTACTAATAGAAGTTACCAAATCATTCATCATATTACCGGAAGTTATTGTCAAAGGATTTAGTTGGCGAAGGATATTGATGATAGGTATTCATGAGATTGTTAACAAAAAAAAATCCATATTTGATTCTAAACTTACATCAACGTCAATAATTTAAGGGTTTTGAGACATTAACTCGATGGATATGGAAATATTATAAATTTAATAAGATTTATATCGTTATTATGTCAAGACTTGTTGTAAGTAGATGTAATTCTATTTAATTAATCAAAAGTTGTTTGGTA